CTGCCTTCGCTTTGTTGACATACTTCTTGTACTGGTCTTCTCTCTCAGTGAGCTCTTCATCCTTTTTGACAATCACTCCCTTAAGTGATTCAATCTCTTGCTGTGCGTTCAGTAACTCGTGTTTAGTAGTCTCGAGTGACAGCGCTTTCTCTTTAATAATGTCCTGAAATGTCTGCATCTGGTCGTCATCCGACTGTCGGACCGACGAATCCCTTAACTCTGCCTCTAATTGAATCACCTTTTGATTGATGAGTCGCTTCTCACTCTCAATCTCGAGAACTCGGACCCTCTCTTCTTCGAGTTGGCACTCAAGAAGTTCGTGTCTTTCGTCACGACTTTCCTTTAATTTTGTGTTTTCGAACTCAAGACGCGTTAATTTCTCACGAATTTCAGTCGAATTGGAATCACTTTTTTGCATCATTTCCACCGATTGTTGACTCGAATGGATTGCGTGCGAAAACTCGGTCTCAAAACTCATGGCGTTTAAGCCCTTCTGTTGACTCAACTCTTGCTTCAAATCAAACAATTCGTTGATATATTTATCCTTTTCCTGTTGTAATTCTTCGCACTTTTTGGACAATCGGTTGGTCTCGGCCTCAGCCCTGTCCGCCCGGAACCCTTCCTCTCCTACTTTGAGTCTGAGGTCCTCTTTGTGTCTTTTGAAGACATCGATCTGACCCTTAAATAATGATAATCTCTTGATTTCTTCCTCTAATTCGCAAATCCTTGTAGTGAGCGATACATTGCGTTCTTCGATGGCTTGGAGTTGGCGTTTGGTTTCTTTCAATTCTTCGCTCTTCTTCTTGTGAACCGACTCTTTATTCTTATACCTTTCGATCTCTTCGTTGAGATACCGAAGTCTANTAGTGAGCGATACATTGCGTTCTTCGATGGCTTGGAGTTGGCGTTTGGTTTCTTTCAATTCTTCGCTCTTCTTCTTGTGAACCGACTCTTTATTCTTATACCTTTCGATCTCTTCGTTGAGATACCGAAGTCTATCCAATTCGTCTCTGTCTTGTTTAAAGTCACTCAACTTAGACATGGATTGATCCAATTGTTGTCTCAATTTGATCGCCTCTTTTTCACTCAATTCGGCGCTCAAACGGAAGTCTTCTTTGAGTTCTTCGGTTCTCAACAAATCGTTTTGTAAACTAATTATCTTATTATTGAGTCCCTGAAAGACGGCCTCGTTATCGATGGACTCCTTTTGATTGCTGTTTGACTCATAGCTTTGCATTGTCTTCAACTTATCGGACAATTTCTCGTTTTCCATCTGAAGCATCAGTTTCTCGTTATTCAGTTTATTGACAATCACTTCCAGTTCTGCACATCTTTGGACAGAAGACTCATTGGTTTCGGGAGTCATTTGATGAGCGGAAATGTTGGCATCAATTCCTCCTAAACTGTTGCCGTCTTCGAAGGGATCCATTCGTTGGATCGCTGTTTTGATGCCGAGTTGCACTTCGAGGTCAAGGTTTGTCATAATAGCGATGAAATGCTCTTTTCGCTGACAATTGACGGCACAGCCGAGGATTAGCTGCAAAAGCAGTACCAACTGTTCAGTGTTGCGGTCGCGACCAATAAGTGTCACGTCTGGCAACAGTTTGTCGTCCATCTGTTTGTCCAACTCTTCGGTATAGTAGTCGACGACCTTATCGTACACTTTCCTCAGGTTAGAGACTCTCAGTCTCCAATTGGTCCCGCAGTCGGCCTCAATCTTCTTAAGCCATTCGGTCTTAAAATATTCGGGACATCTGTTCCGATGAGACAATACAACACATATAATAAACATAACCATTGAATGAGACAATTGTTGCATACATTTGGTTGAGGACATGACTGATGGCCACTCCATCGCACAGGTCTTCAACCGAACCACAATTGATGGCCAAATCAAATGTCTTGAGCTGTAAGTGAATGCCATTCAATCATTAGACGAGTCAAACACACCATTCATATGAAGACAAACCCATTGGAAGAGACTTTGCGTTAAATCCATCGCTCATTAAAAGGATTAATAAAAACTATAATAAATTAAACGATAATTAAGTGTAAAATCATAACAAAATTAGTGTCCGTTTTGTCAACATTTCACTCAATATTGCATTCATTACACAATAAATTACGACAATCTTATGTAATCATTGCCTTCGGTTGGCCTTCACTGCACGGCACGAGTGTCTGGTTGTGTGCCTTCACTGCACTATTTTGTCAACATTTCACTCAATATTGCATTCATTACACAATAAATTACGACAATCTTATGTAATCATTGCCTTCGGTTGGCCTTCACTGCACTGCATGAGTGTCTGGTTGTGTGCCTTCACTGCACTGCATGAGTGTCTGGTTGTGTGCCTTCACTGCACTACACCAGTGTCTGGTGTGTTATACTTCACTGCATTGCTAATGATTTATCAAAAAACTTGTTTGCGTTAAAAACACATTTAGCCTTCACTGCACGGCACGAGTGTCTGGTTGTGTGCCTTCACTGCACTACACCAGTGTCTGGTGTGTTATACTTCACTGCATTGCTAATGATTTATCAAAAAACTTGTTTGCGTTAAAAACACATTTTAAAACAATTTTATAACTTTTATAAACATTAACTAAAGTTATTTAAAGCATAGAAATTATATTTGATTCAAATCATATTCAAATGTTTATATTAACTCATGTTTATTGGGTTTATTCCATCAGTTATAGTCAGCTATCAATTGATTGAAACTTGTTTTATCACTCACTAACTGATCCATTCATTTAGATATTACAGTTAATGATGATAATGATTGTCTATATTGTAGACAAAATATATTTAAATAACTTCAAGGCTTACATTTATTTAACGACAATTATTGTCAACAACTGTTAATTTCCTTATAGTTTTTGCCATTAATATCCTTTTTAATAAACAAAACACTTTTTAAAACAACATTTATTTAATCCGACAAAATATTATAAACTATAACCAAAAACTATAATTTAAATGTAAAACTATAACGATTTACCTCTAATTAATAATTATAATTAGTACTTATATTGCATATTACACAGTAATTCATTGATATACATGTATAGATAGTAATAATCATAAATACATTATTTAATTCTAAAACAATAATTATATTGAATAAAACATTCATGAGTTAAACAAAAGGCCATAAAATAAATGCAATTTCTTTCTGATTGTTTGGCATTCATTTGGGATAAGTCTTTATAAAGTTAATCAAACCATTGGTAGAACTGTCGTGACTTGTGATCAGTTGTGGAGTTTTAAGTTCTGGTTCGATAGCTTTGGCCAACTCTTTGCCCAACTCTACGCCCCACTGATCGTAGGAATTGATGTCCCAAATGACTCCCTGAGTGAAGATCTTGTGCTCATAACAGGCGACGAGTGCTCCCAAATTGAAAGGAGTGATTGAGTCCAAGACAATCGAATTGGTCGGACGGTTGCCTTCAAACACTTTATGATTGATTATTCGTTGTATCTCTTCGGCACTCTTTCCCTGCTTCTTGAGCTCAGTCTCCGCCTGTTGTTTACTCTTGCCTTTCATCAGAGCCTCTGTTTGATCGGACGGTTGCCTTCAAACACTTTATGATTGATTATTCGTTGTATCTCTTCGGCACTCTTTCCCTGCTTCTTGAGCTCAGTCTCCGCCTGTTGTTTACTCTTGCCTTTCATCAGAGCCTCTGTTTGAGCCAAAAAGTTGGCCAAAAGTATTTGATGGTGTAATCCATTGCGCAATGGATTCAATGTCTTAACGAATGCTATGAAATCTGCGGGAATAAGTCTCGTTCCCTGATGTATGAGTTGGTAGAAGGCGTGCTGACCATTAGTTCCCGGTTCGCCCCAAACAATAGGACCGGTCGGGTAGTTGACGGCATGGCCAGAACGGGTCACATACTTGCCGTTGGACTCCATGTCTCCCTGTTGGAAGTATGCCGCGAATCGATGCATGTATTGGTCATAAGGTAAGATCGCCAGAGTCTCCGCGCCGTAAAAGTTGATATACCAAACACCCAACAGAGCCATCAGCACCGGTACGTTCTCATTCAAAGGGGTCTCCTGGAAGTGTTTGTCCATCCAATGGCCGCCTTCTAACAACTCTTTGAAGTTATCAAATCCAATGTGAACGGCAATGGAGAGGCCGATAGCGGACCAAAGCGAGTACCGGCCGCCGACCCAATCCCAGAACTCAAACATCGAGTTCTCGTCGATTCCAAAAGCGGTTACTTTCTCTTTGTTTGTCGAAAGGGCGACAAAATGTTTGG